GAAGAAAGTCTTGAAAGCCAAGGCTGTCGATGCAAGAGTGTTGGAATGGTGTTTTGTTTTTGTTCCTTATTCTAAAAATGTACCTTTACATTTTAAGAGCCAAAATTCTGGAGGACTTTGCATACAATCCACACTCTCATCATAGGGACACTGCCTCTTGACATAAACATTTTTTTCCGTTTAAAAAAAGAGTAAATTTTTACCAGCGGGTAAGAAAGGAAAAACCAGAGGGGGTATGACTTGGTTTAGAGGCTGGTAAGCCCCTGAGAAGAAATCCAGAACACCACCACCCTGGGCTGAGCCCCAGCGTGAGAGAAACCCCCATAATGGCTGATCTACAAGCCATTGCCTGGCTTTCAGCGATTAACCTGGGAGACTGCAGGCTGCATAGAGAAGTCCCGTGTTCCACAAGGCACCTGAAGGAGGAGAAAGAGTGTCTGAGGGCATTGTCCAGCCAGGTAGGCCTAAGTGAGGGTGCACCTCACAGAGTCCCTCACACCGCATCATGGGGGGGTGATGGCTTTGAAGCTCCCTGAGCTCCCAAAACTAGTGAACAGTCCAGCTCATTGGAAGAGACCTTAGGTTGGGACAACTAGGATGCAGAATAGGTGGCATATGGACATCAAAAGCAAAGGACGGCATTCCACGGCCGTGCAGAACAAGCTACACCTCACTAGAGGCCAGAGAGGTAGGAAGCTGACCATAGACCAGGCACTCACTGCCAACCACCCTGTCCTTGCTGCCATGATGTTATATAAGCCTCCCCAGATGCCACTCAGGCAAAAGGGAAGGGCAAGAGTAGTAATTACCCAAACGCCACCAGTCCTTTCCAGAAGAGAAGAAACTGTACTGAGTTACCAAGACAGTTTCCATTGAGAGAAACTGGGAGCCTATGAGCTAAATTGAGTTCAGTTAAAAAAACAAAAAGAGCATTAACCTTTTGTATGCCAGAGTACATAGTCACAAAACAATACCCATTACATGTACAAAAGGAGAACTAACAGCTCATTGCTGTGTACTTGACATGGCATTTCCAGCCAGGAGCACAGCTGAACCAGACCAGCCACCCTAACTTGCTTCCCTTTGTCACCAGTGCAATACCTTTGCAGGATGGATGTCCAGGAATGGAGCTAACTGACTCCAGAAGGGATTGAACTTGGGGCCCTGTCCGGGTCTGCAATGCTCTCCACCCAACGAAGCTAAGCCAGAAGAGGAAGATGACCACCAAAGGTCTGCCGTGAGGTCTCTCAAGATCTGGTCCAAGAGTGTTAGAAAACTCAAGGAAATCTGACTGGATCCCGACAGCCCTTTATTCCCTCAGTCCAGGCAGTCTGGGGCATTCCTGGGGGCAGCCACCAAAGAGCTCCCGAGGCTGACCGTGAAGCAGGTGGCGTTTGGTAAGGAGGACGCTTCTGGTCTACTACTCAGTGATGAGCAAAGAGACCAGCAGAGCTCCTGGCCTTTGCCAGGTTGTTCCTTCTGCCTGGACCGAGCTCCCCTCCGCTCTTTGCCTGCCTGTTCCTTATTTGGTGTTCTAAGATCAGCACAGGTGTCACCTCCTGCAGGACTCTTTCCCCCAGCTTCACCTCTCTCACTCCACCAGGCTGGTGGAGCTCTCCTTATCCTCCCACACTCTGCTGGGCACGCAGTAGGCACTTGGTAGGTGTTGGGTGAATGAAGGAGTCTAGTGGAAGAGCAGACATGACCCTAAGAACTCAAACCCAGAGCAGATTTTGGTAAGAGTTGTCAGCCTTGGGAGTGGAGATGAAATGGGCTCTGGTGGGATGAGGCCAGGATACCTGCTGAAAACAGCATTTCAACCAGGAGCACAATGTCCCTGTGTGATGGAAGGCCCAAGCTTGCGTTAACGGCTCTTTTCATTGCAAGTGTGTAGAAGAACAGGCAGGCATTGTGTCCTGTTTAGAAGGCCCGTCTTGGGGTTTGGAAGATGTTGATGTCTGACATTCTGGAAACCCCTGCTTCCAACACAGCCTGCTAAGCGGAAGGCTCTTTCTCAGATGCTTTACCAGCAGATCTGGCCCCAAAACCCCACCAGGCAGACAGCCTCGATGCTAAGGAAGTTACCTGATGTCCCTGGAAGTAGCAGAGTCCACCTTTCAGTCTTCGAAAAGCAAGGTGTTGTGATAGGATTGTGGTGATGTTTGATGGGTGTCTGGTGGAGCAGGCCTCCCAACTGGGGCTGAAGTTGAGTATCCCCATCATTCCCAGGTCCAGATAGCCTCTTTGCGTGCAGGACCAGGAAGCCTCTTAGAGAAATACTAGGAGAAGGGGCCAGAAGGACAGGCCTGGCTCAGGGGAGGGGGATTTGGAATTCAAGGGGGTTTTTTGGTTTTATTTGTTTTACTATTTATCTCCTGGCCTAGCCCTGCAGGGTTCAAGTCTGAATCCTAGGATGGGAGGCACGCATAAAGGAAGCCACTTCCTTTGCTTCAGGACCACCCTATAAACATAACCAGAAGGGACAAGAGGCACTTAGCTGCAGATCACAGCGCTGCTCTGACACCTCTGAGCTACGGGCCCTGCCCCCACCACCAGCATTGGCAGCAGTGCCTGGCAAGGGGCAGAGGGGCAGTACCCCCAGCGGCCTCTCCCAGGTGTCTGGTGGAGCTGACCGTGGTCTCAGCAAGGGCAGCCTGTTGGAGGACCATGGTGGGACATTGTCATTCAACTTAGAACCAGAGGCAGGGGAGGTGGGAGCAGGAAAAGGAAAAGAAAATTAATAGCAGGCATCCGATGTGTATCACCAGATTTATTTATGAGCATAGGAGAGACACCTTCAGAGATTTCCAGAAATAGTTGTCAGTGGTTGGGGTCATCCTGCAAAAGTGTGGAGCAAGAAGCAATAAAATTCCAGTTAACCGCCTCCGCCTCCCGCCCTCCCGCAGCCAATATGGCCTGGAAAAACATGGGACACACAGAGTTTTTCTTTGGTACCTCTCCTGTTACCCCAAGTTCTTTCCCCACCCCTGGCTAATTTTCAGTAAAGACTTAAAACTGAAAAACATTTCTTCAAAGGCATGTGAATGTCTTCAGCGACTATCAGGAGTTCCCCACAGTACACAGCTGCAAACCACAGCCGCCTCCCGCCTGTGTGTATTCTGCTTTGCATTTGGAGTAAGAGAGGGATGCACTGGGGCCTCCGGCTCCGGGGAAGGACACAGCAGGTCAGACAGTCATCATCGAGCCAACTGGCTGCCACCACGGGCTCCCACTCTCTATCCCTTCCCGCGCAGCCGTTACAGACCCAAATCCCCGGGTGGTCCTGAAACACTGTAGAGAACCTCAACACTGCCTTTGGAGTGTGGCTGCGAAGACCAGCTATTTGTTGCCCAGGGATAGTGACCCTTCTATCATGCCTTTCAGCCAGGGAACCAGGGGTCTTAACTTCAATTGCTCAACCAAGGGCTATTTTTCTGGGCTGCAAGTCCTTGTCCAGTGTGAATACACAGAACACAGCCAGGAGAGCAAGTGTACTGACGCAGTTCCAAGGAGGTCATGTGCCCCAGCTCTTTGCAAAATCCCATCTGGGTTCGAGTTTGAAGAGGCCACGGCCCTTCTCTGTGTAACTAGGGAGCATTTGGGAGAATAGCTCTTGGCTTACAAACAGGAGGCCTCGAGGGTGGAGCCTGTACTCGACTGGGGTCTCGAGGTTCCCCACACAGGGACACTTGCCTGACTCCACCCTAAGCTGCATTTGGTATCTGGGTTAGTGTTGGCACCTGGGCTGAGCCAGGTCCCATCTCTCTGCCTGAACTAGTGGTCTCCCATTGAGAGGTCAGAAAAGGAGCCGGCCTGCTCCCTCAGTCCCACTTCGCTCTGAAATCGCCCAGCTAGAACTCCGGCACCCCCTGGGTCTGTCTGGTTCACGCCACCTTGTGAGTCCCAGGGGCTCAGGGTTCTCACCCGACCTCACTAGCGCGTGCGCGCACATTCCCGTGGGCTGTGTTGTGTCTGAGTACCTCTTCTTAATTTATTCCCTCTCTCTACTGAATATGGCAGGTCCCTTTCAATGTTCTTTGAAAACTACAACCTTAATCTTAAAATACTTAAGGAAACAAAATAAAGTTCTATTTTTTTAAAGCATTTGGGCTGACACATGCATGTGAAGGAAAAGGGGGACCTGATTTAACACTAAGGCAAATCCACAGCACACGAGTCCAGAAGACGGGGACCCAGGGTTACAACTGCAGGGTGCCCTGGGCACGGGGCACGAGCCAGCATGCTGGAGCCGACAGTGCTGTTAATCCGCTGCCTGGCTGGGTTTACTGAAGACAAGCTGTTCCAAAATGAGAAACAGCAGCCGTTGTGGGGGTCCTGCCCTGTTCTTGTCTGACTCAGCTCCCGTTAGGGCATCAGCTAACGTAGTGCAGAAAAGAGACAATGCAGGATTGGCACTCATTGTGAAGCAGCTTTTGTTCCTCAGACCCTGCTGGGAAAGGCCTCAGGCCAGAAGCCAAGTCCTATGAGGACAGCAGTCTCTGGGATCCAGGCAGGGGGATGATGGCCTGCTCTGAAAGGGCAGCTTTGAGAAGAAGCCACTCTCTCTGCAGGCTCCATAGTCTTGTTTTGTTTTCTGTTAACTCACCCCTGATTTCTAGCCGCTTCTCAAAAGAAGGCCTGTCTTCAAAGCCAGACCAGGAGGAGGTAAAGGGGGACTCCGTTATCTTTCACAAGCTTTGGTTAGAGTTTTTTTAAGAAACGTCCTTTGGAAAACAATCTGGAGTAAGACGTAGGACAATGATGAGCCCAGGTAGTGGGGCTCTCCCAAAGGACTACAGTAGATTTGCAGTGTGAACTCATGGTCAGGGCTGAGGAAACACAGCCAACTGCCAGGGTCCGAGCTCCATGGCTCCCATGAGGTTACACAGGAAGTGGCCCTGCTCTCCCACCCAGGACTCACAGGCAGGTTCAAGTTGGATGGTTTCTGTAGTAAAAACACCTCTGCTCATCTCCACCAGGAATGCCGTGAGTTGACGGAGATGCCGGTACAGCAGGATACCTGGGCCAGACCGAAGGTGCTCCCTACCTTCTCCTTGGTCCCTATATGGCTTCCAGTTGGCTCAGGCTTATCTTTGAGCTCTTCAAAGAGAGAAAGAGAGTCTGGACAGAGCGGACAAACCTGGGGTCCCTCCTCACTGCCTTTTGATTGGCTCAACAGAATTCTGGGAGCCACAGAGGGTCAGACTTTGGTGCAGCTTATTGGAAGAGGGGGCACCTGAGTGGTTCAGGGGAATCTGCATGGGACCATGGTCTCCACCTCTGCTTCTCCATCAGTGTCAGGTCCCGAGCCGGGACTCCTCATCAAGCCCCTCCAGTTTCTTGCATATGTATCAGTGCTGGGATCCTCTGTCAGGAAGGAGGCCATAGTGGGCGATCGACTTACACTCCAGGAGCTCCTTGGCATTGTCCTGAGGCCTGAGGATGTCCTCTGGGTTCAGGAAGCCCTGCCTGATCTCTATTTAAAGGATCTGCCAAGGTACCCCTCTGGAGTTGGGGAGAGGTTGTTCTTGGGGATCAGACAGAAGTTTCATAGGATGGAGGTCAGCGTGTGGCTGCTTCCTGGGTCCCCAGTTTGATGGCCGAGATGCCCATGTGAAATCCTGGGCCAGCTGCTTGATGACCGTGGCGCCAAGGAGGAAGGGGTGCCTCAGTGTTGTCCCTTTGATCTGCCTGGACCGTCCAAAGCTGGCAGCTTCACACCCCCTTGCTCACTTTGGTGCCTTTGATGTCTCTGTGGACCTTCTGTCAGAATGTGGATAATCTAAGCCCTTCAGAATTCCCCTCAGAAGGTGGCAATGCCGGGCTCCCTGCGGGCTCTGGGTTTTAGCAGGTGCAGGCAGAGAGCCCTCCCAAGCTCTCCACAATCCACACTTGGATGGAGAGAGCAACTGCACTGGCCTGGCATGCTGACCTTCCTCAGTCTCGTCCTCCACCTATTCCAGGCTGATGACCTTGAAGGCCACCACCTCCCTGGAGCAATTGGCATCTTCCTAGACACCTTCCCAACCCGGCCAGGCTTAGAGAGGAGTTCTCAGGATCTACCTGGGAACGCTGGTGGGCAAATTTCCTCCAGGGCACCGGGTCCTCCCACTGCCAACAGACCACCCTTTCCACAACCCAGGAAGCACTTCGATTCCTCCTGAGATGCTCCACGTTGAGGGCAGCCTGGGATGAGCAGGTGGCGGGATCAACAGGGGTAGGGAGGTGTAGCCGTGTAGGTGGCCTGGCCTCTAAGACCCACTGCTTGTAGTACATCCTGGCACTAACCACAGATCCAGGACTGCGCACCACTGATTTCGTAATCTCTTCCTACAGGCCCTAAATGAATGAACAACCTCCCAGCACACAGGCATGCACCAGGTTTTATTCTCTGTGGAGGGGATGATCCAAGGCAAGCAGCCTTGTACCGGCTGTGTGACTTGGGGCAAGTCAAGTTCGTTCTCTGTTTCCTTACCTAAGTGATGGGTGAGGAGGGTAGGGGGGCTGAACTTTGCCAGCAGATCTCTAACATCTACCTGCTCTAAATTCTGACTTTAATGAGTCCCAAGCAGGACAAGGATCCTTGTTTTTGCCGGACACAGACTGGGCTGCCATTGTGGGGCACACACCGAGCCCACTCTCATCTAGCCAGGGAAGTCCCTAGCCCAGGGCACCACTCCTCTTCAGAGCTGGCATCTGCCAGCTAGGTCTGGGCACAGCTCCAGCTTGAGGCCCTCGGCAGAACACCCATCAGAAAGCCCCAGGGTAGTGTGGCTGGTGGGGGTGGGGACTTCCTATACTTACTGATGATCATGGAGGTCTCCTGAGAAAAAGTAGATCAGAGAACAGCCCAGGTCTACAGCTGGCAGCGACTGAAACGGGTTCCCACTCAGATAGGGCTTTTCTGTCAAACCAAAGAGGTGGGGAGAAATCCCCAGTCTGGTTTTCAGAAAGGAACTCCTATGCGTGAAAAGCTGTGACCCCCGCCAGGGAGCCCCCAGCCCTTCAGATGGCCCGTGGGCGGCTTGCTGGGCTTGTCCCCCTTGTTCCATGTCCCAGTCTGCGCCCACTGCAGGCTTTCCCTGCCTAGCGTGGCCACAGCCTGTTCAGCTGAGCACCCATGTCAGGGAGTGACGTGTGCCCCGGGAGTCCCCTGAGGATAAACGGAGTAGGCTCTCTATTCCTCCGGGGCAGAAATGAGAGCCAGAGACAGACTGCGAGCCCGCCCGCCCGCCCGGCTGAGCCAAGAGGCGGCTGCAGCCATACGAAGCGCATTAACTATTAATAATTTCCAGTTGTTTGCTCGCTGGGTTCGGCCGGCTCCCCAGGCCTCTGCAGGCCGGGGCTCTACTCTGGCTCCCCCCCGGCCGCCCGGCTGGAGATATTAGCGCCTGCCGGCCTGCTGGCACAGGGCGAGGGGACAGGGGCCATCAGGGACCCGGTGCGAGCGGGGTCCCGTGTCCACCCGTAGCGGGGCCGGGGGCCGGACGGGGCGAGGGGCGCCTTGCCCGCCCGCGGCGGGGCCCGTCCAGCCTCCAGCGCGCTCGCATCGGCC